ACGGTGCAGGCTTTGTCTAGAGTCTTGTGAACCTGGGCTCTGGAGCTCCGCTGCTGACTAACCACATGTCTCTGGATGCTGCCATCCACTGTGCCTGTTTTCTTACTCTATGAGCTGAAGCAGCCAGGTCTTCTCTTGCAGGACCGTGATGATCAAATACATGGTGCTCCCCACCTCAGGTACAGAATCACCAGCCGAGTTACACATTGCTCAGGGCAAGCTGGTGGTTGACTGGGTTGGGTAAGAAAAGATAAGATAATAAGCTGAAAACTTTAACAGCTGTCTCTGCCAGAGCCTCTTCATTTCACCTACAATAAAAGGTATTGGGGGGAGGCCCCAAACAAGCCCCACCCTCCAAAATGGCCTCCCAGTGCTGCAATTACAGCGAACCATCATGCCCAGCTGTGTGGCTAATTTCTCGTCAGATCATGTTAGACCATTGCTTTTATCTTTAAGATGTGTCTGTGGAAGAGCTCTTGCCAAGAGGAGAATAGTCCTCAGCCCCTTCTCTTGCCCAAAGTTAGGTACCTTATTCTCATGAGGCTCCTCTGGCCACTCACCAAGCGTGGTGAGATTGGTGAGACTTTCCTGCTGTTTGTCACTATTGGCGTGCCATTTCACCATCTGGGAGAGCCTCATGTTTTCTGGAAATATGGAAGTGTAACTTGTGCTCTGGATGAACACTGTTTTTAAAGCAGCAGCTCCATGTGGTCTTCCCCACACATGCAGGTGTCCACGTGAAGCATCTTTGATGCTGTCTCTCTAGACTACTTCACTCTCACTGTCACACTGTAGCCAGAAATCCCCAGGCACCATCAATTACCCCTTACCTGTAGTGGCTGGATAAAAGGAACTTCTGTTCAGAGATAATGAAGAAAATTATCTCTGGCCAAAAGCACTTTCCTAAGGCATGCATATGGGAATGAAAACAATTGTGTCAATACCTATTCTGGATATTCTAGTGTTTTCCACTAGCCATAGTGAAGCTTGCTTTCCTAATCAACTAATCCCTGACTTTGGTTCCCAAAACTTGACCCAAGTTTTTCCATCTAGCCCACAGTGTCTCTTCCTGATATATTACCAACATGGTTCTTCTAGAGAATGCTAATACAGAAGTATGGATAGAAAAAAACCCAAAATCTCCATGTGCAAAACATCCCTGAATAGGACTATGCCTGTGGGTTCACACTCCCTTAAATCAGTAGTAGCATTGTGTATCTCGTTCCCATAGATTTCTGAGAGTTGTAAAACTTTTCTGTTGTCTCCATTGTCTTGATTTTTCTTCTTCCAATCCTCTCCATGGTTTCCCATGATGCATCCTACAGGATGTGTTTTACATAGTTATATGTACATGTATTAGTGTGTATGTGTGCCTAGTAAGTTTGTGACTGGGTAACTAAACAAAATCATGAGATTATCTTTCTTGCCTTGACCTGATGTACTAACCATCAAGAGTAAAAATACATAATCATCTAAAACTCACTGAAGTGATCACAGAGCCCTTCCTTCCTGAGGCATCTAAGAGAATGAATTGTGTGGGGCATTTGTGATGGGGCACATTCATGATCACTTTGAATGCAAAAAATTCTGTGCTCCTATGGAAATCTATTTGGTTATTTGGTCTTTTGAGGTCCAGCTTCTTCAGTTCTTCATATATTTTGAAGATCAGTCCTCTGTCAGATGTGAAGTTGGTGAAGATCTTTTCCCATTCTGTAGGTTGCTGCTTTCTCTTGTTGACTGTGTCATTTGCTTTACAGAAGCTTCTCAGTTTCAGGAGGTCCCATTGTTGCTCTCAGTGTCTGTGCTACTGGTGTTATATTTAGGAAGTGGTTTCCTGTGCCAACACATTCAAGGCTACCTCCCACTTTCTCTTCTGTGAGGTTCAGTGTGGTTGGTTTTATGTTGAGGTCTTTGATCCATTTGGATTTGAATTTTGTGCATGGTGATAGATATTGATCCATTTGCAATTTTCTATATGTCGACATTCAGTTATGCCAGCACCATTTGTTGAAGATGCTTTCTTTTTTCCATTTATTAATTTTAGATTCTTTGTCAAAAATCAGGTGTTGATAGGTGTGTGGATTGATATCAGGGTCTTTGATTAGATTCCGTTGGTCTATCTGTCTGTTTTTATGCTAATGCCGAGCTGTTTTCAATACTGTAGCTCTATAAGTTTGAAGCCAGGGATGGATGGTGATGCCTCCAGAAGTCCCTTTATTGCATAGGATTATTTTGACTATCCTAGGTTTTTTGTTTTTCCATATGAAGTTGAGTATTGTCCTTTTGAGGTCTGTGAAAAATTTTGCTGGGTATCGCATTGAATCTGTAAATTGGTTTTGGTTAGATTGCCATTTTTACTACGTTAGCCCTACCTATCCAAGAGCATAGGAGATCTTCCCATTTTCTGATATCTTCTTCAATTTCTTTCTTCAAAGACTTAAAGTTCTTGTCATACAGATCTTTCACTTGATTGGTTAGAGTTACCCCAAAGATATTTTATGTTATTTGTAGCTATTGTAAAGAGTAATGTTTTTCTGATTTCTCTCTCAGTCCATTTATCATCTGTATATAGGAGGGACAAGGCACACTTTTGTCTTAGAAAGGATTTATTCTATTTTCAAGTGTGTGTGCGTGCATGTGTGTGTGTGTGTGTGTGTGTGTGTGTGTGCGTGTGTATGCTGTTCTGTCTGTGTATATATGCACATGACAACAGGTGCCAGAGGGCCAGAAGAGGCTTCCCTCTGGAGACAGAGTTACAAGCTGTTTCAAGCAGCCTGGTGTAGACCCTAGAAACTGAACTTCGTCCTCCGCAAGAGCAGTCATACCATGTTGTTAATTACTGAGCCACCTCTCAACCTGATTTCTTGTTTATTTTGAAGCCTCTCAATAGCCCAGGATAGCCTCAAACTTGTGCTCCTCCTCCTTAGTACAAGTATGCATCATTTACCCAACTCAGACAAAGAGAGTTTTGAGGGAATAGACTTCCAGATACAAATTCCCTCTCTGGTTTCTATGCACCTTCTCTATGCAGACTTTAAACAAATTTATTTGCCCGGGGGGTAGATGAAGTCAAGGCATGGCGATCTTCCCTCCTCCTTTCTATTGGTCGGTCATGGTGTTTCCTCCTAGGGAGAAGATTAAAGGAATTTGTAGCTCTGGAGTAGAGAACCTTCCCAGACAGACAGAGAGCCAATCTGAAACTCACGTTGATGATGAATCTTTTAATCAAATTGCCTTAATCCACTATTCCACATGTCATTTAGAGATGTGTTTCTCATAAAACTTTATTCAGCCCAGAATAGTCTTGGTATGAGCACTGTGACCCGATAGAAAGAAAAATTACCAATCTGTGGAGGTTTACTATCACCAGAATCTTCCTTAAATTTCAATTTACTTATACACCTTGGTTGCAGATAATTATGATGGATTAATCAGGTTTTTTTCAAGCACTAATAACGTATCTGAAATTACAGTTCTGTGGGTGAGCCAAGCATGGTATCCCATTCTTATAGTTCCAGCACCAAAGAGGTAGATGTGGGAGTGTTGCAAGGTCAAAACCAGCTTAGGCTATCTAGGTCAGTTCTAGACTCTGAAAAGTATTTCAACAAATTCAAAACAGACTTGTGCAGACACAGTGTTGTAGGGTTTAAAGCACATGCATTCTCCTTTATTCACAAAGTGGAGAAGAGCAAAATAAGTTGGCTGTGGTTTTCCTAAGTTTCATTCAGTGTGCTAGTTAGACAAAGGCATGTTTGATTTGTCATTTGTTGATATTTGTATTTCCCACACAGTACCCTTCTGTGCCCTTGAGAATTAGTGACCTGGGCATAGAGACACATATCTGTAGCCCCAACATTTAGGAGGCAGAGTTCAAATGCAGCTTATACTACAAAAGTTCAAGACCAGCCTGGGTTACATAGTGCCTTTGTGATTTTTTTTTGCCTTTGTTTGTCTGTTGCTGTTGACCATGCCCAGAGCCTTGTGCTTGCTAAGGAAGTGCCCTCCCACTAAACTAAATCCACACCCCTGTGAGACCCCATCTCAAAAATGAAAATAAAAAACTAAGTAAATAACAAACAAATAAACAGTGGTTGGGTATCATTTCTTAACCGAGTTCTTTTGACTTTCTCTCAAATTTCTGACATCTATCATGTAAGTTGTACATACAGGTAGTGACAACTTAGCATCTGCAGCATACCACAATTCCCAAGATCTTGACAGTGAAAATAATATATCTTAGAGACTCAGTTAAAATAAAAAGACTTCCATGATCAACTTGTCCAGATTGTCCCTGGAACTGACTACATTCTGGGCACCATGCAATAATTCTCTCTTTCGTAAGTTGCAGAACTGAATAGTTTCCAAAGTGCCAGTGGCTTCAGGGAAGTATTTGGTAAGTAGTCAAGTCAGAGAGGCCTTATATAGGGAGTAGGTCTGAAGTGGTAAGATCTGGCAGAGAGGAAGACACTTGTCCACAGAGGGATGAGCATGAGTGTCATTTAGAAAATTCTCAGAAGGAACAGGCCCATGTGGAGAGGGCAGGTGGCTGGTGGTCTGGCATTGTTGATGTCTGTTTCTCCATAAAGTGTCTTTCGTAGTGCTGCCAAGAACAGTAGTGAGGGCTGGTGAGATGGATTCAGTTGTAAAGGTACTTGCCACCAAACCTGGCAAACTGAGTCTAATCCTTGAGACCCACATGGTAGAGAGATCTGACTCCCACAAACTGTGACCACAATATGCATGCACACACACACACACACACACATCATATCACATCACAAATAAACGTAACTTAAAATTAATAAAAATATTAGTGAGCAGGGTACGGTGGTACATACCTATAATCTAAGCACTTGGGGGAGTCTGGGGTAGAATTCAATTGGAGGCTGTAGGTATAGACATTAGTTTTTGTTCTAAGGATGTAAGTTCAACTAGCTGTGTTTTACTTGCAAAAACTGTAACAGTTCTCATTCCTGCATTTGTTTATCTCCTTACCATAGGTCCTAATGTGTTTAGCTCGAAGAGTCTTGCCCTTCAAGCCCAGAAGAAGATCCTGAGCAAAATAGCCAGCAAAACTGTTGCCAACATGCTGGTCGATGACACCAGCAGTGAGATCTTTGATGAGTTGTACAAAGTCACCGAAGAACACACCCATAACAAGAAGGAGGCCCACAAGATCATGAAAGATTTGATCAAGGTGGCAATCAAAATCGGCATCCTCTACCGGAACAAACAGTTCAGTCAAGAGGAGGTCATGATTGTGGAGAAACTCCGGAAGAAGCTGAACCAGACTGCCATGACCATGGTCAGTTTCTATGAAGTAGAATACACCTTTGATACAAACGTGCTCTCCAAGCTGCTGCATGAGTGCAAAGACCTGGTCCATGAGCTGGTGCAGCGCCATTTGACACCCAGAAGCCATGGACGCATAAACCATGTCTTCAACCACTTCGCTGATGTGGAGTTCCTTTCCACTCTCTATGGTCCACATGGAAACTGCAGACCAAATCTCAAGAGGATTTGTGAAGGGATCAATAAATTGCTAGATGAGAAGATCCTCTGAATGGACTCTCTTCTCCTGATCCAAGTTAGAACATCTGACCTTGTCCAGTGAGAATCAAGTAGCAAGCTTCATTCAAGATGCTCTTGTTCTGGCCTCTTCATCCTTCTGATGCTGATTTTAACCCAGACCTAGTGTGTTGACTCCCTGAGCACAGGCATGAGATCTCACATCTAAAAGAACTGTGTTTGCAAGCCCAGAGAGTAGTCAACTGTCCTAAGCAAGAGCCTGCTTTGCTCACCACCATGAGCTTGCTTCATCTTAAAGTGGAAGGCGTCCTGGACTAGGACGCAGAAGACATGGGCATTGGTATCAGTCCTGCCACCATGGACGCTATCTTCTGTGTTCTAGAGATGTAACGCTTCCTGACTACCTCACAGGGCTGTTGTCAGGACCAAACGGGACAACTCACATTCATGGTTTTGTGAAACAGACACCAGTGATTGCATATAATAGATAGATGGGGCAGAACTATTCGTAGCTGATGTGTTTGTTGTCAGTTGTCATGGCATATTTAGTAATCACAGTACCAGAGAGGCTGGGGTATAAGAATTATTATTGTTTTGATAGTCTGAACCACAGAGTAGGGCTGAGACAAACCTGGCCTATATAGGAAACTCTGAGGAAATGGAAAAAAGAGGGAAAAGGAAAAGAAAGAGTTCCTTGCCTCGTTTGGCAGAAATGGGAGTCAAGGTGACGCTGTTCCCTTTCCTCTGCACATGGACTGAGCACACTTGTCCAGGGCCACAGCCGTGACTCTCGGTTTAGGAAGAGCCATGCTTTTGTTATTTCCCGGTTCTCCGGTTTCTCAGAATCTCCAGTCTCATCTCCAGCTACATCTCTTCAGCAGCCACTCCGCTTCTCACTTCTTCACGTGTCTCCTCCTTCCATTTCATCTTACCGGAGAATTTTTCTGTTCTGATGAGTAGTTTTCTGTTTTGTGGGGTGTGGGGTTCTGCACTAAAATTTTATTTATAATTGACCTATAATATTTCTAAGTGTCTGTTGTGATGTAGAGCTTCAGTAGATGTATATATTGTATTATCAAATCAGTGTAATTAGCATATCTATCATAAATATTTATTTTTTCTGGCAAGATTATTCAGAATCCCTGCCTCTAGCTATTTAGTAACATGTAGCACATTATTATTAGCTATAGCGACCCTATTATGAAACGGAACAATAGGATTGTTCTATGTAAATGTAACTATCAGCTTCTTCCCATTCTCACTCTGTAGTAACCGGTGTTCTACTTTTTATTTCTTAGATATCAACTTTTGGAGTATTCCGTGTTTGTGAACTACACAGTGTTTGTTCAATATCTGTCTCATATCACTTAACATAAAGTTTTGTAATTTCATCCATATTGCTGCAAATGTCAGAATTTTTTCTTACAATAAAAAAACACTCTGTTCTGTTCAAATGCCACTTTTTCTTCTGCTACTCATCTGTTGATGGCGCTTTGAGTCTTAGCTATTGCAAACATTGCTGTGACAACCGAGGGATTCCCACACCTGCTTTCAACATGACTATTGTGTTCCCTTTCACCCAGTAATGTGGTTTCTGGCTTAGGTGGTAGCTGTACCCCTCACTCCATAGGGAACAACCACTCTGCTTTCTGCACTGGCTGTTCTGCTTGGCGTCTACAGCAATTTCCCCTTTCCTCCACATACCTATCAACACATGTCACTCTTTGTCTTTTTGATTTTATCGTATCCTCAGAGAAGTAAAATCTCACTGTGATTTTGATGTGTATTTTCCTAATAATTAACATTTTTAATTATTTTTAGAACTATTTTGGCTATCAGCATGCCTCTTTTTGAAAATTTCTATTCTTGGCTTTTTCCCTTTTAAAACTCGGATTGCGTTTTAGTTTGCTATTGAGCTCTTTGATGACGTTAGTAGTAATACATTATCAGAGTAAATAACTAGAGCTTTGTCTGCCATGGCTGGCAGACCCAAAGAAGTGCAGATGCCCAGACCGAGATCTCAGTCAATTCCAGATGTGGGGCACTGAGAAACAGGATTTATTTTCCACTGTTAAACTTTGATTTTGCTCTGAATTGATTGTGGCTGTGCCCTGATTATTACCTCTTGGAATAAAACTATGTAAGTTGTTTGTGATTTTAAAGTAGCCCAAACTTTGGAGTTTCAGTGAAACTTTGGGTACTTTTTTGTTTGTTTTTGTTCTTCAAGACAGTAGCCCTAGCTTTCCTGGAACTCATTCAGTAGACCAGGCTGGCCTCGAACTCGCAGAGATCCACCTGCCTCTGTCTCCTGAGTGCTGGGATTAAAGGTGTGCACCACCACCCCTCAGTGAAACTTTGGGTTCTTTAAAGAAACTGAATTTTTAAAAACTGTGGGACTTTAAAAGTTATACCATGCTTTATATTGTGACATTGATATTAATATGAGATCTTAGGGACAAACAAAAAAGGAAGGTTATGGATTAATAGTAACGTTTTAGTATATCATTGTTTAGCATGACAAGGGATCTGTTGTCTTGGTTGAGTATTTGTCAACTTGACATAAGCTAGAGTTTTCTGGGAAGAGGAATATCTAGTGAGAAAATGTATACATCAAGTTGTAGGCAAATCTCTAGGGAGTTTCCTTGATCAGTGACTGAAGTGGAAGGGTCCAAATCACTGAAAATGGTGTCATTCCTGGGTGGGTTATCCAAGGTTGTATAAGGAATCAGGATGAGCAAGTCATGGAGAACAAGCCTGTAAGCAGCACTCCTCTGGGGTCTCTGCATTAGACCCTGCCTCCAGGTTCCTACTCTGAGTTTGTACACTTAATTACCTTCATGAAGGACTTTAGTCTATAAGGAGAAATAACCCCTTTCCTTCCCAAGTTGCTTTTGGTCAGATGTTTTATCACACGAGTAGAAAGCAAACCAAGATGATAGACTATAGAGTCCTTTGAGTGTATCCTGAGTATAATTTGAAATATGTAATGGTGATGCCTCCAGCCATTCTGTATTTTCATATAACATTTAAGGTCTTTTCTGTAAAGAACTGCATTTAAATTTCTATAGGAATTGCATTAAACCTGTAAGTTGCTTTATGTAGGATGGCTGTTTTTTTACAGTATCAGTCAGGCCAATCCACGAGCATGGGATCTCTTTCCATCTCCTGCTATAATTTTTAATAGTGTTTTTTATTGTACAAGTCATTCACTTCCTTAGTTAAATCTATTTCATGATTTTAAGGCTGTTGAAGACTTAATTGTTTCCCTGATTTCTTCCTTGGTGTGCTTGTCATTTGTGCATAGAAAGGCTGTGTAACTTTTTAGAGTTATTTTTTTAATATTGTGACTTTGCTGAATGTGTTTATCAGGTGTGGAGTATTTCTCATGGACTCTTCAGGGTCTTCTATGTACAGAATGAAATCATCTGCAAATAAGGATACTTTGATTTCTTTGTATCCTCCTTGTTGCCTTCATCTGCCTTATTGAACTAGGTATGACTTCCAGCACCATGTTGACTAGAAGAGGGAGAAATTAGATATACTTGATTTGTTCCTAATTTTAAAGGAAATGTTTTGAGTTTCTCCTTGGCCCTCTCCTTCTTTCTTCCTTTGTAATTTTTCAGTAATACTGGGGATTAAACAAAATTAAGAAAAACCCATTAGCTTTGATTTAATTTGAATTTCAGCTTACTGCAAGTTAGTTATAAAGCTCTAAAACTTCACAGACTTCCAGGTATCACCGGGTAACAGCTGCAAAAATTGAGATCTGAGGTAAGAGCCATTTAAAAAGTATGTTAAGAGAGGCTCCAAGGATTTGAAGACCTGAACACTTAGAGAGGTACTTTGCACAACTACCACTGGAGTCTTTGGCTTCCCACAGGAGACTGTGAGACTATGAGCAAATCTGTGAACAGAGGCTTCGATGCCAACTGCCTGGTGCTAGAGACACTTAGAGTCTATGATAGAGCTGACCCACAAATATTAGAACAAGTATAAACTAGATTCAGCTACTGTTGCCAAAGTAAAGAAGTGTTGCTATAGTGATACTGGAGCAAACAACACAAGCCGAATATCTTCCTCCCTCCTCCAGCCCTGCAAACTCCCTAACTGTAGAAACCAGCAGGAAACCTGACAATGCAGGCACATGGCTTTGGAGTTCTAACCCCAATGGCATACAACAGAATATTGAAAAATGGCATTGGAACTCAAAACTAATGAATGACATAGATACCTATGTATGCAAAGTCACTTAATGCAATTAATAAATTACATATTATATGGATGGTTAACTAATATAAATAAACTTAAAAGTTGAGCTCCCTATGCTGTGTTCTGAGCTACTCAATAGCCAAATAATATCAGAAAATTTCTTCCTTTTGGTCTTGGTCTTTTACTTACATATTAATAGATTGGGTTATACATTTTGTCTATGATGGTGATACTTTTGTAAAACCTTCTAACATAATTTTTGCTCCTTAGAAGCAAATAAGAATTTGAATGAAAGTAGATACATTTTGGCTTTTGAAAGAGCTGCCATGTTGAAAGTCTGCAGTATATTCACAAAACTGCCTCAAGACTCAGTAGAATAAAAAACCTTATGGATTAAAGTTTTTCAAATTTATGAACAAAGTTTTTTCTCTAAAATACCCAGGAGAGATTTATTGCAGGAGGATAGCAAAACAGAATGAAGAATGAAGGGGTCTAGCTACATTTCGCATCACACAAATAAAAAAAAGCACTTAGTTCACTGCCACAGAAATCCACTGACATACACACATGCACACACACCTAACACAGACACATATACACACACAACACTCACACATAACACAGACTCCACTACCAGAAAACATATATTTACCACAGCAATCCACTAACACACACACACACACACACACACACACACACACACACATAACACAGCATTACCTTTCACTTACAACTGAGTTACAGAATTATATCAGGATCAGGAACAACATGATCTAGCCCATGGAGTTGCTATAACTAAAGACTTGCTCCTGCATACAGGACCTTATGAAGTGTCCAGTAACCAATTACACTAACCTTTGCAAACCTGCCCCAATAACATATTGATGTGTTAAAGGCAAGGAGAGAATTGCCCATCATGGATAACTGAGATTCAGCAGAGCCCAGAATTGTGTGGCCTGGCTCTTACAAGGACACCTTACAGATGGTCCTGATGCAGGGAAGGTGCTTATAAAACAGCTGGCCTTTGAAAAGGCAACCAAGATGTGAGGAAGCACTTAGGGGTTTGTATAAGCACTTACATTGTGATTAGATTGTATGCAGACATTGGTCCTAGCCACCTTCAAGATGATGCTTTCACAGCATCCTTTAAGGAAGTTGCATGCTTTGGGGGAGGGCACCTGTGGGATACATGTGGGAAATGGGGCATTTTGCTTGTGATTATCACAAGGATTTAAAATTAGAAAACAAGCAGGCTCCAGTACCATCTGCATGACCTGCATGGCCCCTTGGTTTATGCCCAAGATGTTAGAGAAGAATCCATTGGGTTAATGAATTCCATTCATAGACAGATATACATGGGCAACCTCCGACAAGACTGGGAATGGGGTCTGCCCCAGCACCATCGAACTGTAAGGGCTATCACCTAGTGAGGCCCTGTGAGCCACCAGAGCAAATGGATGGCTCTCAGCCATCCAAGTCCATCATGATCAGCTCTCTCGGGCAACCTGAGACAGTGGAGGATTGTACCTCATTTCTACAACGTCTTAAACTAACCTCTGACACGGGACCCCAACCCTATAGGGACTACAGCTCCACCAGAGGAAATAAATAAAGATTATATAGGGGAAATTAAAGTTAAGACTCGGTTGCCCCAAACTTAGTTGATATTATACATGAATTAAAAGTGGCTCGGTTAATGATATTCCTCAATGTTAACCAAGAGAAGGTGCTCATGGCTCATCTCCATAAACTGTTTTTAACCTAATCTACCTGAGCATTGCTTCCAACGGCAGATTCTTCTCTGGGGTATGAAAACAGCCCGACTATGCACCAGGAATCTGTTGAGGCTATCAAGTCCATGTCTGACAAAACCCTGAGGCTTGTAGTACTACTACATAGATGATATCCTAATCAGCCATCCTGACTTCTGAATTGGCAGCCATCTGTGTCTACCTCAAAAACAGCTTTTAGGCCCATGGGCTTCAATTTTCTCCAGAAAAAGGTCCAAAAGACATCTCTAGTCCAATATCTAGGTATAATTAGAGAGGAATATTCTCTATGCTATCAAAATCTAAAAATTTGCAAGGATTGTCTCAAAACACTTGGTGATTCTAAAAACTGCTGGGAGTTAATAATTGACTCAGACTCCCGCTTAAGCTTACTACCCAGAAACTTTGTACACCTTTCAAACTTTTTTTCTTTAAATTAGAAACAAGCTTGCTTCACATGTCAATGCCAGCTCCCTCTCCCTCCTTTCCTCCCTTGCCCCCCAGTCCTCCCACCCCCACCCCATTTCCCCTCCCCAGGGAGGGTGAGGCCCTTCATGGGAGATCCCCAAAGTCTGTCATATCATCATTGGCAGGGTCTAGGCCCTCCCCCATGTGTCCAGGCTGAGAGAGCATCTCTCCATGTGGAATAGGCTCCCCAAGTCGATTCATACGACAGGGATAAATACTGATCTACTGCCTGAGGCCCCATAGATTGCCAAGGCCTCCTCACTGACACCCACATTCAGGGGGTCTGGATCAGTCCCATGCTGGCCTCTCAGCCATCAGTCTGGGGTCCATGAGCTCCCCCTTGTTCAGGTCAGCTGTTTCTGTGGGTTTCACCAGCCCAGCCTTGACCCCTTTGCTCATCACTCCTCCCTCTCTACAACTGTATTCCAGGAGTTCAGTTTGGTGCTTAGCTGTGTTTTGCTTCTGCTTCCATCAGCCACTGGATGAAGGCTCTAGGATGGCAATAAGGTAGTTATCAATCACATTATAGGGGAAGGGCATTTAAGGTAGCCTCTCCACTATTGCTTAGATTTCCAGTTGGTGTCATCCTTGTAGATCTCTGGAAATCTCCCTAGTGCCAGATCTCTCCTCAAACCTAAAAGAGAATGCCAATCCCTCTTCTCCATTTCTGAGGCTAGAGTGGCTTTTAGTTGAAGTGGAAGCAGCTATGACCATTACTGGACTACTCTGGAAACTGCACTGCATTTTGGGATGGTTGCATTTGGGGCATTCCACCCCCAGGCTTCTAAACCCTTACTATGATTTGGTGGCAAAATTAATCTCAAAGGGGTGCAATGTGCTATAGAGATTCTAGGTAAAGAGACAGAAATAATTATTGTGCCATATTCAGGAGATCAGCCACGTCAGCCCTGACATCAGTTCACTGCCTGACAATACCCTGGCTAATTACCTTGCCCAGCTTGATCCTCATTTTCCACCACTCAGGATATTACATTTTGCATCCACTCAGGTTTATTTTTGCCAACATAACACAGTCTCACACCCTTGCTTTGACTAAACTGTCTTTACGGACACCTCTGGCAATGGCATGGCTGCCTACCACTCTTCCTCAGGTTCTAAAGTGCAATGCATTCCACACTTCAGTCAAACAGAAGTCTTTGTGATCCACATGACTTTGAGATATGTGCTTTTCCTGTCAGTATTTACAGTGCCCGCGCTTGTGTGGTAGGAATAATACAAGTCTTGGAGTTAGCCAGCATTAGTTGAATACTCAAGAGTTATACCATCTTTTCCACAGGACCCAGAACTCCTGTGTCGCCGCCAGAGTCCTCACTGTGTTGGCCATATTCGGTTACACTCAAGTCTCCCCAGGCCATCAGCTGGAGGTAATGCACAAGCCAATGTGTGACACACTGCGTATGTGCTTCTCTGCAGTCTGTCTTGATAAAAGCCCATGCGGTCATGCTCTACATCAAGACGTCTCCTCTTTATGAAAGGAACTTGCTATTTCCTAAGAATTAGCTGGGCAGATAGTTAAGCAATGCTCCCACTGTGTTCCTTTTCAGCCTGTCATGCATGACAGCATTAACCCTGGAGGGTTGCTCTTTGGCAGGCAGATGTTACTGGTGTCTCCTCTTTGGGGAGAGTACAACTTGTGCATGTTTCTATTGATACTTATTTTCATTTTGTTTCTGCCTCTGCCCACATGGAGGAGGCTGTAAGAATGTATCATTGCTCTTTGCTTTGCTCTGATTGGTGTTATGGGGCTATCCACAGCACCTCAGGAAAGACAATGCCACTTCTGACACCTCTTCTGCATTTAGAAACATTTGTGCCCAACATAAAATAGCTCACAACATGGGCATTCTTGAGCAGAGGCAAAAAGGGCTTTAGAATAGTATTGTAGATCCAGAGAGGCATCAGTTGGGGCTGTTGATTACACCCCCTGCTGCAGAAGATCTGAAGAAAGTACTTTTTATAGCCACCTCAATATGAAAATAAAATAGTTCAATCCTCTGTTGTGAGATTCATTCTGAAGGTAAGGGACAAGGCTTATAAACTAGCTATTTCTCAGCTCTGCCATTTTGCCGTCACACAAATCTATATTGTGATCTGCAACAGATGAAACTACAGTTGAAAATGAAAGACATTTCTATTGTAGGGATGTTACTGAGGGTACAGATGATGTAGAAGAAGTGCTTACAAGTTTGCAGATGATTCTGAGTTGAGTAAGATAGCAGGAACGAGACCACTGAATTCGTACATAGAACAACTTGGGCCATTTCATTACCGTGCTGGGCTATCAGGATAACTGCACCCAGACACAAATCAGTGGTAAATGGTTTCCAGAACAAAGCACTTAAGAAAGGCATGTCTAGTAAGCAGTGTTCACAACAGACCATCAAATATAATTCTAACATTGGGGCACAGAGTTGAGGCATCAAAATTCTAATTACACATTGAAAATGTCTCTTGTAGGAAAGTGAGCTTCTAACTGATTACAAATGGAAGATTCAGCTGGGCTTGGAAATGAAACAATTATGTTTTATTAGTCCTGGTTTATAAGGACAAGTGCCTACCATTCCTCTTTATGGAATCCTCATGAATCAAATGCCCAGGCTTATTATAGTGAGAAATTCTAACAGGTCAGACAGACAGAATTCTGTTAGGGAATTCGCTCAGTGTAGCAGTAGGGTAGAGGTACAGTTAGAGTTAGATATCAATTTATGGTTGAGTTTTAGAACTAGTTTAGTGTACAGGCTAGGTGTGAAGTTAGAGTTAGGGTTTTAACTAGGGTCTGGTTAGGGCTAGTGTTAGGGTTAGGTTGTATTTTTAATGTTAGTCCTTGGGTTAGAACTAGGTTTAGTATTAGGGG